GTTGTGTCCTCTACAGGGAGAAGTAGAGTTAATTTTCGTGCCAAAATGGAATCCAGCAGCATTCTATCTTGCTTTTATGAGGGAGCCTTTTAATGGATTTTAAAAAAATACCAGTAGAGTTAATTCAACCCACACCAGCTATCATTGGTATCCTGTGCCGCTGCCTACGCGTATGTAGTCATCTACACTTCTGTCAGGTGGAAAATGCTGTACAGAAGGCCAGCTGCAATGCTACAGCTGGAAAAAGAAAAACCCAATGCAAGGTGTAACTTAGTGTGAAAACAAACTGGATAATGCACAAATTGCAAGCACAGACATTTTTCCCCAGAGACCCTGTTTTCTTTTGATCCTAACCTTCACAAACTTTAAGTCTTTAGGGCTGAAATAGGCAGTGTCCCAAGCTGGATTGCTTTTGCTCTTTTAAAAAAATTCTTGGCCGAACAAAATTTCAGCATTTCTCCAAGGTTGGGTAAGTGCAGAAATGAAAGCAGATGGAGAGGTAGAAGTCAAAACTCATGCCTGAGAAAGAAGTGCAGCGTATAATAGGGCAAATGATGAGGTTTGGGGGGAAAATGATGACAATGGAGAGAAGTAGAGAAGTGTGAGGAGCTAGAGGAAAATATGAATACTAGCACAGATTTTGAAGTGAAGTGCTGGAATGCATTTGTCATGTAAGAAGAAATCAAAAAAAGAGAACTACGAGTGTATGTGACGAGGTTATATACAGAATGTTTCCTTCCCAAATCTGCAGTTCACCACTGTAGCTCTGGGTCTGACTGTGCCTTCAGCTGCCCACAAATGGCTTGTGAAAGTCACTTTCAAATTGTGTATCTCAGTGCCTACAGATGTCTTCATGAGTTCAAATGGTGGGATTCTGTGCTGGGGCTCTAAAGAGACAAAATTGGTAGACGGGACAAGCTGGGCAATTAGTTTCATTCCATAGGGTATGAGGTTTGTGTGTGTGCATGTCTGTTTGTATGGTGCAATTTTTAATGAGTCACATGCCGTTTCCCTTAGCGCCTTAGTTTTAGGACAGTCTTCAGATGATTCAGCATGGTGTAGGAAAGACGAGTATAGGGTACTTTCCTCTTTATAGAAATTAAAAGGTGTATATGTGAAGTAGACAGGAGACTCATAGAAGAGAGGGAATGGTCTCATGGTTAGGAAAGTTGGCAACCATGAGAACGGGATTCTATCCCTGCCTTTACCGATAAGTTCCTATTAAAGATGGCCAAATTGCTTTGACCAAAATTTTCCATTGGCCACTAAGTACTCTTTTTTGGATTTTCTACAGTGGGCCAGATTGGCAGACTGCTCTCCCAGCTGCAGTTTAAAGTCATTGATAGTGTGCTTTGGACATATAAAACCCTGCACAAATACTAAGTAGTTAAGGAAAATCAGTACTCTCATTTCTTCGATTAGGAACCCAAAATCCATGGAAACTTTTGCCATTTTTGCCCATTATCTTCATGCCTAACTTTATCCTTATAAAATGGGCATTATAGGAGGGAAAAAGCCATTTCCCCTACAGTCAATTCCCCTTCTGAAGTCAATTAACATTTGTGAATCACTTAGATAACTTTGGTGAAAACTCGAACATACTCCAGAGGAATTTATTAATTTTCCTTTTTAGTATGGTGTTGAGGAGTCATACTAAATACTTAATTATTCTTTTATTATAGGAAGTATGAGTCCTGCAGGAAAAAAAAAGTGATTATGAAATTAAAACCATACTCCAGGGTATTCTTATGATGGAGACAAATTAATTGCCCAGTGAAACTTTCAATTTAGGAAATGTTGAAATTAAGTGCTTGATTTCACTATATGGGCAGGGTGTTCATTTTGGTTTGGGGAAGAAAAGAGGGGGCGAAAAGGTGAAGGCTTTTACTGGATAAAATATATTTAAAGAGTGAATTTCCTGTGGTCTAGGGTGATAAAAAATACTTGACAGGCAGATTCTGCGTATGTGGGGTTCCTGACCAAGAATATCATACCTAAATTTGTTCCCATTAAAATCAATAAAATATCTCAGATTGCTTGTAGAAATGTTTGTGGTGTGTATTGCAACAAGTATTCAGTATCCACAGTTCAGAACTTCTCTGGGCCAATGGGATTGCAAAATATCTGTCAGCTTTGGCTGACAGCCTAAGGTTGCCACACCAATTTTTCTCTTTAATGAGTAAAATAGGTGGTGTTTATAGAAAAATAACTGTCTCATGAGAAGCTGTGCAAAAAGTTCCATTCAAAACCATTCTGTTTATATATAGTTTTGTTGTTTGTTTTCTTTTCTTTTTACTTACTACTGTGGACATTTGCATGAAAACAGGATATTTCTCCTTCAAATTGCAGTCATGGACAGAATAGCTACTATGCCAAAATGGAGCCAACCCACTTCAAAAAAGTAAACTATTTTGCTCACCAAATCTGTTTCTTCTGTGTATGTAAAGTTTTGAGCACTTATTTTTCTACCTAAATTTAGGGGCTGGTTTTTTGCTTTAATTCTGTAAAATCAATATGGATATAATAAAATGAGGATATGTTAATGAAAAGATTAAATGAGTAAAAAAACCCAATAACATAAATAACATTTATGCTTTAGTATTTATAGTGACAGACAGCAGGGGTAAAAGTATTTTTGTTATGTGTACTGACTTTTTTTTTTTTAACACAGCTTAGAAACAACAATAAATACTCGAGAGAGATAAGTAGAAGAGCTGAGTCCTGTTTTGGCTGATGGTGATCAGTAGAATTAATAAAGGCAGGCTTCTCTTAAGAATGTCTGTGTTCTTTCTGATGGACAAATTTGACTTTTCCAGTCTCAGGTTGAATGTAATATTCTACTAATTTGAGAGATATACTTTTACTGACAAATGGCATATTTTTTCTGGTTCAGCAATGTTTTGTAACGCCCTGAAGATTTACTTTAGGGGTCCAAGGCTGAATGAGTGTACATTAAGACCCATGTTCCTATAATGTATTTACATCACTTAACAGCTTAGTCCCTGGCTTCAGGTCCATCTGGGGGCACAGGGAAAGCTGTCAACTGCCCAGGTAGCTCTGTGTCATTTATTTCTCTGGCAGGAATGAGTAGGAGAGTGGGTGCGGCGTGCTGCCAAATGCTCAGCCCCTGTAGCCCTCATCCTAGCAATAAGGAAGGCAGGAGCGTGAATCAGTGAGCCTTCCAGCTGGAGGCAGCTCCAGCCAGAGCTGTCTTAGAGCTGCTCTGCCCTGTAGAGGCTCGCAGGCTTTTCCTGTTCTCGTTCTCTCAGTCTAGGGTGGTTCTCTGAAAACTGATACCTACCTGTGCAAAATCCACTGGATGAAGCCGTCATCTGTTTGTACAACTGCAGGATTTATAGTAACCATACTAATAAGTAAATATTCCCTGCCTGGTTAATAAACGGAACAGCAGGGTTTCAGGGCAGGTGGGCATAGTCCTCTGACTGTAAAGATTTGCAGAGAAATTAAGAGTGGACAGGCTCCTGTTTGTACTACACAGAACAAGTTTTCCAATGTCACGAAATGTCCACTTCTTCCCAAAGCTACCTGCAAATCTGTCAGACAATCTTTTTTTCTCATTTGAACAAATAAGCATCCCACTGATCTTTTCTTAACCAGACTGTATTTGGCTCTGAGAGCCCAGTTAATTACTAGTCTCTTTACCTCTTTGGGGCCATATGAATTCATGATTTGCAAATAAAAAATATAAAAACTCTGTAGAATACACCTCGCAATTCTCCCTGCAGATGTAAACTGCTGCTTTTTTTGCCATGCCACTTCACAGAGTCAGGGTCCATTTGCCTAGGCCAAACACCATTTGAATGTGACTGAACAATATCAGGACCCAAGCAGTGGAAAGAAACATCAAGGGCTCTTTGGAGAAGTTTGTTGCATTTATTCCTATTTTATAGCTGCTTCATATGTTGTTTATATTTGACAACTTTTTTAGTTGCTTTTAGCTTGGGCAACTAATAATGCATGTTCACATTGTCCAATTTTTTTCGTGCTTGTAGTACTTGACGCAGGATTGTGGCCTAATGAAATGTTTGCAAAGTAATTCAGCATAAATGCGCCAGTTACTTTCTTTGGTTATCTATTGGCGATACTCAGTTCCCACCTAGTTTGTTCAGTGCTGCTTTGGCACACTGTTACAGATGTTAGCAGCAGGCAGTTGACGGTAATTATATCATATAATACACTAAGTAAATATATGATAAATGAGCAAATGTAAACCAAACAAGAAACACAACCTCAGGGACTAAATGGGCCTGAAATTCTCATGGATAAGTATAGCAGGTGAGCGAAGGAGGATGAGGAATAGGATAAGAATTTCTTAGAGCCCGACTGCCACAAATATGTCAATGGAGCTGAGTCAGCATGGGAAGAGTGCAGTAATCTGCTGTTGATTCAAAAGCCAGTAGCTCACTGCTATCCTTCTGGGTGACGTGGAGAGCATTTGCCAGAAATGCTGATGAGTAACCTCCGAGAGCTCTGCAGGGCTGCTGCTTCTGCCGCTCTTCAGCCCATCTCTTGTGCTGCTGCATTCCAGGGACATTCCACTGGAAACAATAGCGTGGCACAGAGCTGCTGAAATAGCCACCGGTCAGCATCAGAGCAGCAGCCAAAAAATGTAAATCATACCAGTCATCTTTTTAGAAGTTGCAGTTTAAGAATTCATTGCCTTTCTGAATTCAAAAACGTTGCTTTCGCTTCGCCTTTGTCAGCTCCATATACATAGCAGATATATATTGTGTGCACAAGTGAATATTTAGCAGTATAATTTATATGTCTTTTGTGTAGGATTTCTTACATAAAATACTCTCTTGCTATTCCTCCAGCATTTTACCCACTAGAAACCACGCCTTTTTCTGCCTTTCTTCCTCCCATTTCTGTTTATGTTTTTCTGTGTAGAAATACATTTAGTTATTGTGTTGATGATTACTTTCCTCTTAAGTTATCTCTCTTCTTGACCTCCAGCCTTTCTCTGTTTTTATTGCCAGCTCACGGATGCTATGACTGTAGGACCGTGCTAACTGACCCCTCTGGAGTTTTCACTTCTCCGTGCTTCCCCAGTGATTATCCCAACAGCCAAGCGTGCAAGTGGATCATCCGAGCACCTCATGGATTCATCATACAGCTAACATTTATCGATTTTGACATTGAAGAAGCTCCGGGCTGCATTTACGATTCACTGACACTAGACAATGGAGAAAGCCCAATGAACCTTTGTGGCATCACTGCCAAAGGATTATCCTACAACTCTACCGGAAATGAAATGATCGTGTCATTTAAAAGCGACTTCAGTATCCAAAAGAAAGGTTTTAATGCCAGCTATGTACGAAGTAAGTAAACCCAAAGCATTTCATCCCTCTTCTAGATATTAGAAGGATTAAAACGACGCTTCCCGAAGGAATCAAGTCCTCCATGAGAAGGGAAAGGATAGGGAGGCTGCAGGGTAAAACTACAGAGTTCTCTTATACGTTTTTTCAACTAATTTATTTTTCTTTGGATGAAAATAAAGTAACATCAAGTGTGTTAGAAAAACTTTTCACATGCCAAGATTTTAGGCCTAACAGTGCCTTTCCCTGCAGATTTATGCTGGAGGGTTTGGAAGCAGGACACCTGTCCTTCAGGTCAGCATACCTGCAGAGGGCCATAGAAACCTGAAGGAGAGCATGACAGGGAACTTCGTTGAGCCAGAAAGAAGGCCAGCCCAGACCTCTGGCCCAGTGAAACGCCCAACAGTGGGGAGGAGTTTGTGCAGAAGGCAGAACTTCTCAGGAGTTCTTCCTGCCTCTGGAACAAACTCCCAGGGATGAACTGGCATTGCAAAATGGCTACCTTTCGTTCCAGTTCCTTGACCTTTCTTTCCCTTCCTTAAATACATTGCAATGCTTAGATTTTAAAAAGCCTAACAACTGCAAAAAAAAGACACGCATGCTTTTTCCACTAGAGGATAAGGGTACAAATAACATGTGATTGATGTTTGTTTTGTTTTTTAAAGCCTTAATTAGAAGTTGCTCTCACATGACAGTAAAGGGCAGCGAGGTAACAGAGGGCATTAGGATGATCACTTACAGGCCCCATATGCCCACTCACCATTCATTCCACTTCAGGGTTATAGTTTACAGTTGCATGCTCTCAGTAGGCTTTCTTTTTGTTGAAGTCACACACCTGAGGCTGAATGCTAGTATTGCATTGCGCATTTGTATTATTGTAGCACACTTATGTTCTGTTGGTTGGCTGGCTGCTGTAGAAACACAGAGCAGGGAGGTTTGCAGCTATGTCTTCAGTCACAAGCACATCTTCCTCATGTTTTGTTGTTTTTTTTAATATTTATTACACGTCATATATTTTAAAATAATTAAGATGATAGTAACCCCCAGGAATCATAAGACAAAAGTAGTCCCGATTATGCCAGCAAAGTTTGTGTGCAGTTCTGAAAAGAAAAAAGGTAACGTCCTATCAGAGGAGCTAAAAATACTTCTTTCTGCTGAGGTCCTTTCATGCTGATGAAATGAATGTAGTAATAATTCTAGGAGCACCTGTCCTCTTCTAAAAGTGGAAGCAGATTTTCTGAAAGGTTTCTCTGTTTGAAAATAGCAGCTCTTGCTGTATTGTAAGAAGTTGTAAAATCAAGTGGATCATAAAAAATGATATGCAATCAGATTATGCAAAATTATTTATTTCTCTATTCCTCTTTAATATTTTAATGTTTATGTATGACTATAAGGGATAAGATGACTTACAATTGGAATTGAAAGATGCAATGTTGCCCTCAGATGTGTTCAATGAGGAGGAGAGGAAAGATCCACAGACATAGTCAGAGAACCATTTGTGTATATATACCTATAGGTAATGTATTTTTATGAAAGCAAAAACATTACCTCCATGCCAAATTGAATAGTACCTTACGTTCATGGATAGCAGCATTGAAGTTAAATAGTCTTGGAAGACATCCTTTCACCTTGAATAAGACGACTACTCCCCAGTGTGAGTAAAGGTATCAGAGACCTTCACCAGTGACTTATATTTTAATGTTTCACATATGTATTAGTTCAGAAACTCTATGTTAAGACTTGCTGTTAAGCATCTATCCTAGCAGCATAAGGCTGCTGAATTTTGTTCATTACTCCAAATCTGTAATTCTCACCTGACATCTTGATTTTGACCATGGATACCGGGAGAGCTGGCTGCATGCATCTAGGGCAAATTATAACTGTATTCTGCTTATTGCCCACAGTTGTGCCATTACATTGCGTTCAGGAGATAGTTACAGACAAAGATCAGGGCAACGTTTAACCTGGCAATGGATAAAAAGGGGCTTGGTAAAGGGATGATAATGTACTGCTTTCCTTTCAAGTTATAAAAGCATGTAGACAATAGGACATCAAGGCACCCACACACTGAAATTACAATGCATCTGCATGGCAGATGTCAGTGCTACACTCTCCTGTCCTTGCAAAGAGTTCCAAATGGAGTTCCCCATCGGAGAGATTACACAACCCTCGCTTCCTCCAAACCCTGGAGTTTCAAAGCTCCTTTGTCAAGCTGACACCATTGTTACTACTACGAACATGATACCTGGGCAAAGTCATCAATTTCTCCCAGAGCGAGGGGAACAGTGTTATATTCATATTTTCTTTAATTTCTCAGAAATGATCATACGCAAATAATAAAATCAAGTAGTTTGTTCAATTTTGAGTTTCACAAAGTAATGCAAAGTTGGAAAGTAAAGGGCTGTTCAAAGACACACAGCAATTTGCTATCTAGAAATGGCATTTAAAAAGACGTTAATGGTACATCCTAATATACAGTATGTACACAAGACAAAATATATGTGGGGAAAGACAAATATAAGAGAGTAAGTGAGTTTTGGGAGGGAATTAGCCGAGAATAGAACAGCTTTTGTGTGACTGCTGGGTTTTATGTAGGAGCGGTTTCAAACTGAGTTTCACAGTTTCCGTTTCACAGTTTCATCCTGTTATCCATAACAAGTTGGCCACCCGCACAAACGTTGGCTTTCCTGGTTGTCACCTCCTGGAACACTCCAACAGCAGATGGATGGGCCATATCCTCAGCTGCAGTAAATGAATGCAGCTTTGCTAGTCTTAGGGGAATTATGTCAATTTACACCAGTTGAAGAGCTGGGATGTTAAATAATTTTCTAGAAATAGTTAACTGCATAAGTAATAGCTCCACTGGTGAGTAGAAGTCATTCAGTCACCAAAACGAGAGGAAAGAGAGCCAACAGACCTGTGTTAGTACAGGAACGCTTGAGACAATGTCATGTAAAATTAGCACACAGTTGAGTAGTACTGCAGTAGCCCAGATTAAAAGCACAATTCAATGCGGTGGTAACAAAAAACTCTCAAACAGGTAGTTGGTATGTAGACACTTGCAGACCTCATTAAAATTGGTGCATTTCTTCCAGCATCAGTGAAAGGGCAGATGAAAGCAGTGAAGCTAGGAACAGCAGAAGCCACCACTCAAGCACCGAACCATGCTGAAGAGCCCATCAACTGGCAGGAAAGCAGTTTTCTCTGCAAGGGATTGTAAAATACAATCTAGGGACTCCTGGCTTGCTTATGGGTAAAGGGATGAGATGTGAGACAGTGAGCTGCAAGTAAGCTAGGGGCTCTAAAAGGCAGCAGAGGCAGGCTTCGTGTCATCCCAGCGCTCCCGTAAAAGCAGATGTGGATCTCAGAACAGGGAGCTGCCTGGTGCTGGTCGCTCCTGCTGCGTCCAGGCTGCCAAGACTTTTGTACATTCTTCATGAGTAAACAGCAATGTGTCCAAAAAAACCCCTGTTCATTATAATCTAGTTATCTTCCTAACAGAAACAATTTAACATCATTCTGAAAATAGTCTAAACACTTGGATGAATATTCCAAGAACATGTGTATATTCCTCCTCAGAGAATAACCAGTTTCTCCGATACTAACATCTGAAATTCATCAGTATGATGACTGGCTGTGCAACAGTAATCAGGAAAGAGAACTGCACTTAATGTTGATGGCAGGATTCTGTTTTCTCCACATGGACAAAATACTTGTCAGTTTTGTTCTTTTGCTGTATGGGGAAGGTGCCAGTGGCTAAATCTGTCAGATGAGTACAGCAAAGTTGACTAGACTTGTCCAGTACCGGAGCAACGTCCTCCCTGTTTATTTCTCTTCCTATACTGTTTAAATGTGACCAGGTGGCCCATAACTCTCCTGACCACCCTAACACAGGCTGGACAGTGCTCATATGAATGAGCTTTCTTCTTTTTCAAGTCTTGAAGCTTCTTCTGGAACACTTTCCATGTTACGTAAAGAAGCTTACAGTATAATTAACCCATGAAAAAAATGCCCCTGTTTTCAATGGGGAGTTGAACACATTTTCTATCTATAAAATTGTTACAACATACTTTTGCCCTTGGGAAGAAAAAAAATCTATGAAGTAAATCCAGTAACTATAAAAGCCCAGTATTTTTCTCTCTTTCCTCCCATTCTCCAGTTGCTGGGTTGGTGGATAATGTGCAATGCTTTATGTTATTTTACTATATAATATATTGGTCAAATTATGTCCTTGTGTATATCCAAATATGGTAATTTGGAGCTCAGAGTCTTTGCAAGCAGCTTTGCAAGCAATACCACAGACTACACAGAATCCTTATACCCCATCTATCTGTCTTTTTTCCTGAGCGTGGCGTGACAGTCACCCTTCCCTCATATGTCTCACCCTCTCATATTGAAAGGTTTTTATTTCATTCTGAGAAGGGAACAGGTGTAGTAATTAATGTATGTGTTGTGGCATTACTTAAAAATCCTGGGGGAGACTAGGGATTAACTACTGTGGCAGTTATTCTTCAGGTCTAGCAAAAACCAGTTTCACTTCTAGCACATACACTGTGAAAATGTGTAAAAGAGGTAGCAGACATTTGCTGGAGATGTGGTCTGCCACAGAACTGGGGAGCCAGAACTAAAACCGAGGGCTGCAGCAATCTGGTCTTGTTGACCTCAGTGCCTTTGCATGACTGATAACCTGAAACTTCCTTCTGTGGAGAAATTTACTAGAAGAATTTTGTTGCCATAAATATGCCAATAAAACTGAGCATATTGACACTTTATTTTGAAAAATAATGTTCTCCAAAGTAGAATGAACAGAATTGTCATTAATATACTCATGGAGAAAAAGCATATGTTGTGTGATACTGTTTTTCACACTTGATGACTGCCATGTTGCCAGTGCAAATGAGAATACTTAACCACGATTAAAGGCAGAGTAATTCTGCCCGTGGCTAAATACCCTTACTGCAGTGCATATTTGCAAGAGGACTAGCCATTTCTAGATACTTGTGCAAAATCCAAAACTACTGACCCAAATATTAGCAAATAGTGGACAGCTTGCATATAAATATTCATGAACACATGATTGCAGTATTCCACCAGAAGGCTGCTGGGGACAAAATGAAAAGATGCCTAATGTTTTGTAGAAACCCGTTAGCTGAATTCAGGAACAAAAGGCTTCAGTTTGCCACAGAATGTAATGGGGGCTTTCTTCTATTGCAATACTTAAAAGAAGCAAGGCCTGAACTTCGTTGGTGTAATGCAGTCATGCAGATAACTGATTAAAATAATATATCTTAAAAGCAAGTCATACTGTGTTTTTCAAATAACTGGTTCATTCCATTGCCTAATACATCCTTACTAGATGAATGAGTAGTAATATTTATGAAGTGAGCTGCGGCAGAGTTGGAAGTTAGTAGGTAGCATGTCCTAATATTGCTCTTAATGCATCTTGAGGGGTTGTTAACTGTGTGTAGCGCAGCATTCTCCGTGCCGCTGAAAAGGAACTCTGTATATTTTCAGCTGAGCCAAACTCCCAAGCCAAATTCCCCTTTGCGTGTGCTACTGGTATATTACAGTGATTAAAACTACCTGATGAATGTTTGATTTAATGAATGTAACTTTAACTCCGGCTGCTAGTCTGCCTTTATTTCTATATGATGAATTTATTTTTTTGTTAATTTACTTATCTGCTCTTGGTTCTAGTCGCCGTGTCTCTGAGGAATCAGAAAGTCGTCATTCCCCAGGTTCCCGACGTCGATGCTGTGTCCGTGGCAGAGACTGTCTCAGTGCCAGAGCTTAGCCAGTTTACACTCTGCTTTGAAGCAACCAAGGGCAGCAGTGATGACAACGATGACTGGAAGGTTTTCTCCTACACTGATGCGCTGTCGACAGAATTCTTCAGCTTCGGGAAGACCACAAAAGGCCATTTTCTGTCCATGTCAGGCACGCAGTGCGTCCTTGAGAATGCATTGCCCCGAAATGCGGAGTTTTTCACGGGAACCTTTCAACAGCTCTGTGTCGTAGGGGATAGCTTCTCGGGCAGTATAGGTATATATGCCAAAAGCACCTATCATATAGTGTACTGTCCGGGTATCTTTGGCAAAGTTATCCCTGGAAACGGGAGGCTGGTGCTGGGCTCTAACAGCAATGAAGTGAGCTCTCTAAATGGAGACATTTACAACTTCCGCCTCTGGAATTTCACCATGAATGCGCAAACACTGGCCAACCTCAGCTGCGATGTGAAAGGAAACATTGTAGACTGGGAAAATGAATTCTGGAGTATTCCAACTTCAGCACTGAAAGCAGAAAACAATTTGAGTTGTGGTGAGTACGCCTTGCCAAATCTTTTTTGCTTATTTTCCCCCCACACTTCTACATTGTGCTGAACATACCATATACCAGCACGGAAAAAAAAAGAGAGTTCCTGTGGAAGAAAAACAGCTAGGTCTTACCTTCCTTAGACATTAGCTCAACTCTTACCATAGACAGAGGCTGTGAAAGGGTATAGAGTTGATTCTCTAAAGGAAAAGAACAGGTCCCCTAAGTGTATTGACTTGCTGCTTGAAATGATCTGCAAATCAAAGTTTTTCCTAAACAGTTTGTTTATTGGCCTTCTACTCATACAAAATGGGGATAACAGGCAAGTACCTGCTAGCCTCAAGTAAGATTACTGTGGTCTCTGGAGAAAAAAATGTGTGTTAACTAACCGTTTAGTAAATGTTTTTGTACCTGCCCTTTGGCCCTTTGATTAGCCAGAAGGAGAACTTGCTAGCCTTGTGCTGTGTGTACAGAGCCAGCAAAAGCAGTGACAAAACAACATATGAGATGGAAAAGTACGAGAAAAGGTTAAATTAGAGGCAGAAGACAGGAGGGAAGAGTTTTAGATCAAAATCATCGGGTTTTATCTTCCTGATGATGTATTATCTGTCCTTCTTTTAATTGGCAGTTACTGAAGGTCTTTCTTCCTGTAGATTACTCCAGAAGATAAATTTCAATACATTGTCCAACCTATTCTCATTTCATGGCTCAGACACTTGATTCTTACAAGTGTTCAGGTGTAATTTTTATATATGTATGTGTTATTACAGCCGGTTGACAATTTTCTACTGGAACATTTTTTTCCAGATGAAAAAAAATCAAAACTGAAGAATCTTTGTCACTTTGGACCAGTATTTTTTTTTTTTTTTAAAGAATGTTTTGGTTAGTAACAACTTTAGAGATATTTTGCTAATTAAAAAATGCATAGGGGAAAATCTGAATCATGGCCAGCGGTAGCCTGTACACACACATATGATGCTTGTGAAAATCAACTGCTGTCAAACTCCATGTCCACAGAGTTTGAGCCCTCCTATTGTGGCAAATACACATTTGTTTAAAAAAACCAAAAAAGTCAAAGTAAACAGTTACAAATGTTGGTTCTTTCTGAACCATGTGAGGTCTTTTCATACCTAATGTTGTCCTCTCCAATTTTGCCTTCTTGCTCCTCTGACACCTTACATAGTTTAAACATAGTTTAAATAGTGTCAATATAAGTGTCTCCTAACAGAGCATCTGTCAGCACTCTGAGAATCCTTAGCTGAAAACAGGAGCTGGCATCATTAAGGCGTGCTAGTTTCTGTATCTAATAGCTCATGAGGGATTAAGGTGGCTGAAAAAACCCCATCTTGCTTGCTTTAGTTTACTCAAACCAAAGCATGAACTACTCATTCACAGCTAGACTCGCTGGGACAGCTCTCAGCATGCCTCTGCTAAAAAAATATAAGCAACATCTCTATAAAAACACAAGCAACTAGGTGCCTTTGCCCCTCTACCGGAACAAAGAAAAGGCTGATCTAAACATTGACCGTGACTGATGAAGGCATTCTGGACAAAAAAGTTGTTGCTTTTCCATTAGTACGAACTGATCTGACAGAAAATAACTTCCCAGAAAATCTTACTCCTCTTACACCATTATACCATGAAGACTACCACAACACTTTCACTAAACAACCTACCAAGACCTCTGTAAATGTTGCAGTCTCATTTAATTTTGACAGGAGTACGGGTCTTGTCCTTTCTGTTGAAGACCGTACAGCCCTGTGACACAAATGTAATATCACAGCTGTGGTCATAGAAACAATATACTTATTTTCATTCCACAGCTTTATTCCTTGGGATGTCATTGTTCAGCGGTTTCATTACAGCAGAACATTATTTTAGAAAACGTGTATTAGCGTTCGTATGTTAGGCCCGGGTGTCTATACAAGCCACTTTAAATGTATCTATATGTAAGCATTGTTATTTCCTCTAACTAAGCCTATGAGAAAACTGACTAGTCAGTCTTTTTTCTTTTGAAGATGTTAAATCACCCCCTATGAGTATTTCCTAAGATCAGAGTATTTCCTAAAAGAAAATAGTGGGTGCAGTGCCATTTCAAAAACGGTTACTAATCCCAGAGATGGAATTGTTAGAATTTTCTTCCCTTCATCTTCTTGAATAAAAGCCTTCATTGTAAAACCAGCCTTCAACAGGAGAGTTGATGAGTCAGGCTGTCGACCATGAGTAAACCACTGGCCATGGGGAGATGACTCTTAACTGATTAGGCTTCATTTAGCAGCAATGGAAGGATTTATGCAGAAAAGAGGTTTTCGCACAGCTCCAATAATGCTTCCCCAGGAAGTGGCATGTAACTTCAAAAAAAACAAACCAAGCATTTAGCAGTGATCTCAACATATCTGTGCCTGAACAGTGCTTACATTTTTCAAGTGGTATTATTTTCATGGTTTTTCAGACAAAGCTTTTACAAGTAGATTTATGGAGCATAAAAACACTGGCAAATTGTTCCAGATAATCTTTTCATAGTTTTACCTTCTCCTAGTTTATTCCTTAGACTAATGTTTTCACAGCTGTGCAATCACGGTGGGGTGTTTCTGGAAGACTTGACGGAATTCTGTTTTTATTGCCGTACCTTCGCACGGCTTGCATTTAAAGGTATATGTACACAGCCTGGGTATCCGGACTAATTTTAAAACAAGTAGCCTAGGTAACGATAGTGGTGTAACACCACCAGTTTAGAGCTCAGTGCAGGCAAACTGAGGAGCATTTCGTCAACTTCTGGTACTGATTTTGGAGCCTGCACTGGCTACACCTAGAGCAGGATATGATCTACTCAGTTTAAGGGTAATGTGGCCGCACGTCTGTCCATGCCTGCAATTGCATTTGCTTCATGTACACTTGGTATGAGTCCTTCATTCCCAAAGGCCAGAGGAATTCTTAATTTCGCTGTCAATTTAACTCAGGGTGGGATCTGTCTGCCTTAGGCAGCTGAATGATGTTTCAGGCTGAGCTAATTGCCCTCAGTGCTGTTTATGAATGGTGGAATGAAAAAGGCTGTTCCAAAGGTCAGTGCATCTCATACTGGAGAAGATGTCTCAGTGAAGTCAGAAGTTTTTTGCTGTAGGAGTGCCTGTTCCTCTCCACTAACCGTAAAGAAAGTCTAGCGTGACGAGCAGATACGGATGTCTGAGTTTTAGACATTTGAAGTGAGTTAGATATATCACACAAAGCATCCGTAATACAGGTCCATATCTGCTGTTCACATTACTGGCCATGCCACTTGGCTTCATACTGACCCCAACTGACCAAAGGGGTATCCCATACCATATGACGTCATGCTCAGCATATAAAGCTGAGGGAAGAAGGAAGGGGGGGACGTGGGGAGTGATGCCGTTTGTCTTCCCAAGTAACCATTACGTGTGATGGAGCCCTGCTTTCCTGGGGAGAATGCGGGCATCAATCCTGCTACTTCTTGCAAGCCAAGCGAGCGCTCTACCATTTGAGCTAATTCCTCCGATTTTAATCCATTTTAAAAAAAAAAGAATTCTGGGCTTTAATATTTGTTGAGGATCACATGTTTTAAATTCTGTCCTATTTTTGTCAGCAATACATGTAATGGTGTCTGTGGTGTGACATGATTTCTGCGTTGAGGCCCCGTGCTTCATGTGTTCTTGCATCACAGGAAATATTTTCCCAGCTGTCTTTATGAGCTGAGGGCTGGTGGCTCTTTAATTTTATGGAGGGATACAATGTTTCATGAGAGAACCTCATTGAATCAATATGATTCTGAAGTGGTAAAGCAAAAGCCAAGAGGGCAATGCTCCCAGTAGATTTAGATTATGCCATGCTCTATGGCCCCGTTATTTTCAACAAAGTGTGCAAAAGCGGCTGTATCTGCAGCTGAACTGCTGGGATACACAAAGTGTAATTAATGCAGTTTCACCAGTTCGTCTTCTGTAGCCATTCTTATATGCCCTGCTTTTGTCTCCAGATCATCAAAGTGTGTGCATGTTGTTATGAATAATTCAGTAGAGATGCAGACTTATAACATTATCTGCTTATAAATCATGCATACCAGAATATTAATCACGCCCACGCTCTGGGCAGAGGAACAAGTTTAATCACCTTTTATCTGGTTGGTGTCTGTCACAGGCAGATTACTCAGAAGTGTGTGGTGGGTAACCCGTGCTACAGCAGCGGAGCATGGTTGCTTCTCCAAGGCGCACGTTATTACTCATGAAGATTGCATAAATCCTAGGGCCATACTGACCCCTCTGCTTAAAGCCGTTTCAGAGTACACACAAGCTTGCATTCTTTTAATGCGATGTTATTTAGCGAAAGCTAAGAAAACCATGGGAGGATACGTAAGTGACTGTAACTTGCGAGTCAGCGGGGTTTTCATGGATCCCTCAGCCGCAACAGAAAATGAAAACACGTAAGTCTCACAGGCAAATGGCGGTATCAGTTTTGCCACTGAGAGAAATTAGGAAGAGGACTGTGTCACTGTTAAGATATAACATATTTTGAGACATGACAGTTTTATGCCCAGTAGCCAAACCTTTCTAATTATTTCACTTTCTTTTTCTGAAGGCTCATACCTAATTCCCTCTTCTACAATTGAACCAACCAGTTGTGCAAACCTGGGAAGCCTTTGCCAAGGTAAGAAGCCCACGTCATTTTCACAGTTTCATCTTTAGGAAATCTTCATTTTCCTTGGGTTTTTTATTCCATTTCTTTTCTATTATTTTTTCTAAAAGGGTGAACTGCAATAAAAAATAACAAGGAAAGGAATTCTTTGGTCTCATCAAGTGTGTGGGTGTCCTGTACGTACAATATGTGGAAAAAATGTGATCGCTCCCTTGATAATACATTTTCCAAATAGTCTCCATTATATTAAAACTGAATTAATCAGCTGCTTTCATTTCTTTCTCCATCTCTTCTCCTCCTGCACATTTTGACAGTAAAATATTAACCAGGATAAGAAGTGGGTACATCTGTAAATAGAAAATGAGCAGATGTAAATAAAGGAACTGACTATTATTGATTTTTTCCAATAAGCTATTTTGAGACTAGATGCAAAATGCAAAATCCAGCAGCTATTCGTTAGTGGAACACTTGTTACAGCACTTAGTGATGGTGTAATAGTGTAAAAATCACCACATATAAGAATTCATTAGGTGTCTTTAAAGGTCAGCTCAGTTGAATGCAAGGAACAGGTGAACCCTAAAGATTTCCATGTCATGTGAATCGTTGGACATGCAAGGACAGTTAATTCCTTCTGCTCTGCTTAAAGGCTGAAGTTCTATAATAATGCTCGGTATGAACAACATGAGCCCATTTCCACAATACCATCATGAACACAGACCTGCTAATGAGGTGGCACGCTATGTTAAACTTTAATCACAGGAGCAGCTGCCCTAAAAATAATGTCTAGCTCTGTAACCCTTTTCAGGCTGAATGGTGGAAGAAGGAGACAGGAGAGAGTAAAATATAAAAGGGGAGGAGGAAGTCTCAGAACTCTTTCAAAACCAACATTAATAAGTAAATCAAATTTAGCTTAAAAATAAAAAGGAAAATGCTCTCTGCTTGGGAAGCCAGTAAGAGACCTATGTCAGTCTTCAGTGTACTTCTCCCAGATTTTCCTGAGGTAAATTTGCTTCAGGTTCTTGGAGCGTATTGTACTGGTCTCCACAAGGAAAATGAGATGCCAGTTATGTCCATAATCAGATTTCAAACAGTAATTTTCAGGCACCATGTTCACAAAGCACAATATGATCTAAATACTACTACTTGAATACCTTAAGTAAGTGTGACAGCAACAATTATTCAGTATTAGTCTTTTTATATGTAAAGGGTAATATAGCCACCATATAAAAATTTTGTGTATTCTTTTGGAAGAACGCTGAGCATTTTCCTCTTTCAAAATGGCATGGTGTGAAAGGTGAGAGAATATGTTTCATTAGGTCAGCTAACATGGCTGCAGAAATGGACACACTTTCAGCGAAACAAGCCTGTGTTTCTAAAAGCCTCATCCTTTTTTCCAGCTTTATTAACTTGTCTAGTAGAAGATACTGCCTCTAATAAAAGATGCTACCTTTCAAACTTGCCTCTGTTAACTTCTTAGACCATCACATCTTCAATTAACACTATGAGTACTTTCATGAAGGTAATACTCTTTCCTTCTCTGAAAAGTGTTTGGTAAAGTGTCACTGGTGTTCTGTGTTTGTCACTTTGGAGGTGGCAGATTAGATTTACCCTGTTCGTCATCATCATCATCATTATTGTCATAATAATGAAAATCATAAAAAGGTGTCTGTCTGTCTATTTCTGTCAGCACTGCAGACTTATTTTAAACTGAGAGGCCAGTTTGGATTCCTTTTTTGTTTGTTTGTTGTGTGTTGTGCAATAGCACCAGTAACAAAGTTTGTGGATGCTAGATTATGTCAGCTATGTCTGATGAAAGAGCCGTTTTCCCCATTATGCTTAGCAAATATTTTCATTCATTGGAGGATGCCTCCTTTAACTGCATTGGCTGGAAGATACAATCAGTAAGAAGCCTTATAACTTGTTTCTCAGACAATATAGCCCTGAAGTTACATGGAAGAAGAGCTTTTTTGTATTATAGGGTGTCACTTTACGTACTCGCTTTCCCAGTTAGAACCTGTTTGCTGCAGTGTCCAGCTCTTCCTTCTCTTTCCAGTTTCACTGAAACCTGAACATGAACCTGCTCCCTAAGCTGAGACCTGAGTTTATGACTTTCAGACTCAAAAGGTTAGCTAAAACAACCTCATAAAAAATCAAAAGTGCAATTTCTTGCCTAAAATACAATTGCTTAACCTTTCCAGGTTGGTTCTTGGTCAAAATCTGCAAAAGTCATGTAACACTGCGAGGTTATACTGCACCAACCTTCAGATGTTAAAAAGGGTTTTCAGGAAAAAAGAAATCTGTCAGTGAGTGGATTTACATTTCCTGGGAGTTACCAGATAAAATTAAATTATTTTCCAAATCATTATTTGAAAATTTAGTGGCATGATCTTTGAATTCCTCTAGCAGGTATACCCTCCCAGTCCGCTGTGGGGGAAATTTGCAGTTTTGGCTCCTCACTCTGATTTTGAAAAGTGTTCTAGCTGGTTCTCCTGGGAAACATTTGCCAGGGTTGTGTGGGGTGACTCCTGTTAGTGTCAGTGGGAACACTACAGCTGAGATCCTACATGAAGCTTTCAAAATATATATTCCACTTCAATTATTCCAATTCTGATTTCCATTCTCTTCATTGTAAGGAGTTCAATGGAGTTAACTGGATCCTTACATGGGCGTTTTAGTTTCGCATTTGTTTGTCATCTTCAGTCCCTGAGTGGGGACAATTATTCTTTTCACAAGCAATATTCTAAGTGCATGCGTCTTAGAACTTATAAGGTCTATTTTCTGATCTTTGCACACCTGTTTGGATCTGAAGCTCTCGTAAGAGCGTTTTGAGTTTATGAAAGCAGTACAGGACTGATCTTGCAAACCTTACACTGGCAAAACTCCCACTGAAGTCAGTGAAAGTGAAGATTGCAGGACTGGGACCTCAGTTCATATCCATTCATCACTTTGTGCAGAAAAAATAATGTATTTATTTAACATTTATGGCATTGTGTGTAGATGGTTTCATTTTACATTGTCATGCGTTGTTCCCATTATGTCTTACCTTATTAACATTCATATTTCATTCAAGTTCACCTCTTTCTCATCTTTATTACCAGCTACTGTAAATGCTACTACTCCTACACCACCCACTGTCACCACTAACATGCCCGATACTAATAGAAACGATAAGCCAAACAATGGTAAGAAATCCTGTGTTACATTTTTCCTTGTACTGTGTCTAGAGCAAATTTATTGTATTTTAAGGTGTGTTTTCATAGTATCATAACGTCAAGGGTCATGTCTCAGTTCTGATCTCATTTACACTGAAATAAATCAGGAGTAACTTCACTGGACCATGTAAGAATGGTGTAAATGAGAACAGAACCAAACTCGGTGTTTATTTGTACCATGTTTCCTGGCTCTTGTACAAAAGGGACTCACTCTGTGTCACCCATTGTATTTATCCATGCAAAGAGCGAGGGAAGGGAGATGGATTTTTAAAAAGGGTCCAAAAAGAGCCACGCTATTGAAATGTTTTAAGGCTGCAGATTATGAGGCATTGCGTAGCTCCTGCCTGTGCAGCCAGGGTGGTAGTATGCTGGGATTGTCTGTTCCTCACTAGCTGGGCGCAGGAGCCAAGTGGAATCATTCCTATGGAGCAAAGCCACTTCCACTGAGTCAACAGGAATCTTTCCACTGACTTCAAGAAGAGCTGGATCAGACTTTACTAGGGAAAATGTTGACAGTATCAGATATCGTTTACTTTTCATTTAGAAAGATTAAGGGAAAAAATAAGGTAGTAAATGATCCTATTATTAGCACAGGAAAAAAGCGGGGATTTCTTTTGAGGTTTTCTCAAATTCTATGATATCACTGTTTCCTAGAGACTGAGCATCATTTTGTGAGGCACTGCTAAAATATTTATTAGTTTGTTAAAGATAGTTGTTAAACATTATTAACAACAGAGATTTCTGCAATTTTTATCTAAGGCTTAAAGATATTTTTTGTAAAGATTTATTTTTTCAGTGTGCTCCACAGAAGTAAATTAGAATCTGGGGAGCAGGGGGGGCTTCTTTGTTTGTTTTTTCCAAATGCATCAGTTGTTACTGCAGGATTTAAAATTCTTGGAGTATTTTTTCTCTTGGCAGATCATTTCTCGTACATTGGCAATCAGGCAGTACAGTAGAAAATGTGAAAGAATTTATCTGAATTCAATCTGTTTGGATTTACTAAGCTGTAGAAGTAAGAAGAAAATATTGAAAATTTCTTCCAAATTGTGTTTTTTTTCTTTTGGTGGAGCCACTCACTCTATGTTCAGCCTGAGCAGTTAACTCTGATTTTTGTAACTACAAAAGGAACTGAATGCCTTATTAATGTTAGCATGAATAAAAAATGGACAATTAAGTCCTTTCTTTGGTTTTGAAACTCCCAAGAGAAAGTAGAAAGACCAAGAAAAATAAGCCAAGTTCATTTACAGTAGAAGCAAATTAAACTTTCACTCAGCTAGCTGGCATCATTTTCCACTCTTGGTAAGTTGATTTTTAGACCACGAGCAGACAGCCAAGAACAGACAGTTAAGTTGCATATATTTTCTTTAATCCATTAACTATGTGGCTTACTACACACAGACCTGCAGGAATTCAGACTTCCTGCTACAGTTATCTTCAGAATGAAGAGAAATTCACCTGAATCCTCCCACTCACGACCCCAGAGGCAGCAAGAGTCTAAGATAGAAGGGGTCAAAAGCATAGGAATTATCTCAACCCCAATTATTTGGCCAGTGAAACACAGGCCTCTCCATTTCAGTAAAAACTCAGCAGATGAGAACCCAGAGAGAAGAACCACGTACAGCTTGTTTCTTCCAACTGTGTCCACATCAGCTGCTTCTGAGGAGACCGGCAATGATACCTTGGCTGCCTTTACAGAACAAATCGACTTAGACAATACTGTAATGAATTGGTTACCAAATGAAAATACTTCGAATGGTTCTAGAAGTTCGTTTGATGGCACTTCTGATGCAGCAGATGCTGTTACAGAGCCTTCTGTGAATGCAGCAGTTCCTCTTCTTCAAAACAGAAGTCCTAATGCAGAGCTAGCACTGACTCTGGCAGATGGGCTAGATCGTTCGGACTCTGAGTCAGCGTTCCGCTCTCCCCTCAGCAGCAGCAGCACTGCTTACGAACACAAAAAAGAAGCCACGTGGATTTCGTCCTCCAACAGCAGCTCAACCGATTTCATGCATATAAGCGATGTCTTGGAGCCTGAGCGTTGGAGTGAGACTGCGTTCCATCATCATATCACCTCTGACATTCAAGAAGACAGACATCATTCTCTTTCTAGCTTATCTATATCACCTGCAGAGGAGAAATCATCATTCCAAAAAAGTAGGCTAGATTTACTAGACTTCACACCTGAAAATTTTTACCTGCAAATGGTAGAAGGCGATGCTGATAGGAAATATTTTTCTATGTTAGCAGCAAACAGTGAATTTCAGTTTAGAAAATCCGCGCACATTAAAGAACATCATTCAGGAGGCATTACAAATTTAACCTCTGTGGAGACTCCACGTGCAAACCCAACAACTTTTTTTCAAAACGTGAAAAAAACATACACAAAATTTATGCCTGACATCCAACCGACAAATTCAGTCCTAGGACATAGTGGAGAACCACTAACATTTTCAGCACTTCTGGTAGGAACAGGTTGGACAAGCTCAGCATTTAAGCAGGTTGTAACAACGACCCTGCCTGTTTATCAACAGTCGTTGACTGACGTATATTTGGAAAGTGACAGCATATTTATATCTAATAGCAATTACTGGTCTCATTATTTAAAACGTTCAGTATATTTTCAAAAGCCAAGTGAGACCCTCAGAAATGGAGTACTGGAGAACAATTTAGATGCATTTCATGACAGTAGTCAAAATGAAGAATCAGCTTTTTCCATATTAGAGCCAGAGAACACTAATAGAGTTGGCAACTCCTGGGACTCAGGTTACTTGGATTTTCCAACAAAATATGTAGATATTGCCCCGTCTTTAAGAGCAAGTTTCTGGACCGTTTCCTATCATTTGAAAGAAGCATCTCAAGTGTTTTCTGGGGAGCCATCAGAAAATTGGTGGCTCTCATTTAATAAACTGCTTTCTTCCCCAACAGAGAGATTGCCATCCTTTAGTTCACCTGCTAAGTCTGACAGTATGTCTGAACAAACATCTGCCATTAGATTGTTAGGTCCCAGGGCTGAAGAAATGAACTTCTCTAGTCATGCATCAGCTTTGCAAACACAAATCTTTAGTTCATTTATTCCAGGCCTTTCAAAGAGAATTTCAAAAAGTAATGGCAGGACAATATCACAGTTCCAGTCAACAGTGAACTTTGCAAACCTAACCGTGTCTTCCAACAGTGAATTTTATTTTGATTTTGATTTTCCTTCCCTGGAAGCACCTTTGAGTCAACCCTCTGTACAGGTACAGGTAAGTGCCTTTGATAAGGTACTTGAAAACTCCACAGAAAAACTAATGATATTTGATAGTTTGCATATGCAAATTGGAACTGACATAGTAAGTGATCAAACCAACATGACCTTCCTAAACAATAGGCAGCAGCTTGTTTCTGTCCTTCCAACACATTCAGGAAGCCAGCCTTCATGTTCAAGGGATAGCCAAGCTTCTTTCTTGATCAATACACCAGTTAAGAGTTTGGTAAACAGTACAAAAACACATGGATCACCGCAGTCTCAAAGTCTTTCAGCGAATGATGCTATAACAAATACTATTGATAAAGCAAGAAGTAAAGTTCAGATAGATGCAGGTGTTTTTTTAAAAAACATCAGTTCGATGAGTTCTGACTTCCTTCCACTGACATTGTCTTTGGAATTAAGGCACCTTCTTCATTCAGACTCAAAATTCAGAGTCAGTGTACCTCCTAACAGCTACTCGACACATCCACTCCCACAAAGTTTTCAGAACCATCGTGATACAATTTCTCCAACCCTGATTCCTCAGTGGGGTGTAGCAGAGTTAAGCTTGCCAACAACAGTAACACCAAGAAGTCATCTAATTGTTTTAGGACAAAACTACATTGAAAATCAAGAGGACAATCTGAGATATTCTCTATGGGCAGTAAAAGAAGAAATCATTGGTGATAATGAAGACATAAGGAATTCTGCTGTTCTGACATCAACAAACATATTGAGGCTTTCCGAATGGGATTCAGAAGGAGAGGTGTATGGATCCTTTAGCAAGCACAGAGAAGGAATGTCTTCTCTGAATATTGTTAGTACTCACGCCTTGGATTTTGAAAATGCTGATAATGGACGTTTTGCAAATCTCTCTTCTATTCTGGAATTGTCAAGAACTGAAATAATGAATGATGCGATACCTTTGCCATCTTCCTATAGTGGAGTTATTATTCAGCACAAAGAGACCATCTTGAACAGCACTCTGACGACACCTGGAGCAACAATCCATCACTCTTTCATGCAGTCCCAAATGCCAGTTTCTTCTGTAATGTACCATCAGTCATCAATTTCGGCACATGTTCATTCCTCGGCCAATTTATCATCTGGGACAAGCCAAAATACTACCCCTTACCCACCACTGAATCAACTTACTAGCTCTCCTGCAGTCTTTTTATCGTGTTTATGTTATTCCTTCACTGAGCTGGGCTGCCTGTGTCAACCTGAGGTCAACTACAGTATGTCAAGCTAGATGTAGAAAAAACCCGGATCATCTTCTCTGTTAGATATTCAGTTGGTAGACTGAACATAGAAGTAGCTGACTTTCATCCTTTAGATATAGATCCATTTAGCATATGAAAAGATTTTAGAATAGAAATTTTATGTAGGAGGGAATTTGTAACATCTTAGTGATAGTAAATGTCATTAACATGTGATTTCTAATTTCTAATGTACTTCTCTAAGACAGCTCTCATGAGACTGTGAGAATAATATATCGGGTTGCCATGTATTCTCTATATTTTTATGCCATTTTATTGTTTGAGATTGTATGGATGTTTTTCACTTACAGTATTCATATACTTTTTAGGATTTAACTTTCAAAAAGCAAAGATTTTCCAAAAGAAACTTTTGGATAATTTGCCTAACAGAATTAAAAAAAAACCAGTGCTGGTTTTTCATTGGTCATGATATTTTTGTAATTGGTGGTGGGTGTGGGGAGAATTGTTTTTCCAGGTTCTTTTTTCCTCTTTTTTCAAATTATCTTTGGCTACTTTTCATCAATTTTCTGCCCATAAAAATATTTTTTTTTTATTCAGCATTTTGAGGTGGGATTTCCACTGTTTAATTTGGAGAGTGAGAAATCATTTTTAGTTTTCACTATCTGCCATTGCAGTCTCCTGAGAGTGTTTAAAAATGTAGATTAGTTCTTTGTTCTTTTTTCGCCTCATTAAAACATGCTTTGGGTCACTATCTGATGGAGATCTTGAAGCTGTTGACTAGTTTGTAGTTACTATGTTTGATTTTTAAAATACTTTGCATATTCTTATATTAAGGTGATTTTGTCCATATACATAATTATATAAATAAGATTATAATTATA